CGCCACATGCAGAACATATATCTTTTTCTTTGATATCTTTATCATCTTCCGTGTCGTCGCAATCTTCTTCATCTGTACTGTCTACCGTATACTTTTTTGCGTTGCCCCTTGGTAATTTTAATTTTTTGGATTTTTCTGTCTCTTGGTTGTTTTTTGCGACACATTCAGTAAAAACTTTCCTCTTGAAAATGGATGTACTAGAAGCTTTTGCGTTGAGTTTCTTTGCCGCTTTCCGTTGTAAAATTTGTTTATTTGGGGTTGAGGTGACAATCTCCGAATGCTGCTTGGCGGTTGCTCTTTTTGGCACCTTCGAAGTTGACGGTCCAGGCAGTGGCAACATCTCTAAAAACGATGTCTCCTCTCAGTTTTTCTGTGCTTCCTTTTCTGCAGTTTTCTCGTATGCGTGACTGATTTGAATTTCTGTAGTGTTATGTTTGTCTTTTTGTGGAGTTCTCTCTCGTTCTTGAACATTCGAAATTTCACTAATCTCAGCAGTGATAATGTGAAGTTGCGCTGGCCCAAAATCTTCTTCGCTAAATACTTCCGGATTTAAGGGACTAATTCCTGTCACCTGAAATCCCTTGATTCCTTTTTCTGGAGTTGCAATTCTTATGAAGGCATTTCTAAACAATTCAGCTACTTCGAATGGAGTAATTTTGTCATGTGGGTGGTTTTTTAAGCATTTGTCGCACTCTGTATTGTAGGCAGCTTTCAAGGGGCCATAGAAACAGACGTCGAGAGGTTTTGGTCATTCCGATAATGCTCTTGGTCTGTTTCCCAACGATCTTGGGGCATAAATAACGATTTTGAAATGTTTTGATCAAAATCCATGGGGTCGCCAAAATATATCAAATTCATGTTTTGGTCATTGAGAGAATGCTCTTGGTCTTTTTCCAAACGATCTTGGTGCATAAATAACGATTTTGACATGTTTTGATCAAAATCCATGTAGTCGCCAAAAATAGATCAAATTCATGTTTTGGTCATTAAGATAATGCTCTTGGCCTTTTTCCCAACGATCTTAGTGCATAAATAACGATTTTGACATGTTTTGATCAAAATCCACGGGGTCGCCAAAAGTAGATCAAATTCATGTTGTGGTCATTGAGATAATGCTCTTGGCCTTTTTCCCAACGATCTCAGTGCATAAATAACGATTTTGACATGTTTTGATCAAAATCCACGGGGTCGCCAAAAATATATAAAATGCATGTTTTGGTCATTGAGAGAATGCTCTTGGTCTTTTTCCCAACGATCTTGGTGCATAAATAACGATTTTGGCATGTTTTGATCAAAATCCACGAGGTCGCCAAAAAAAGTTCAAATTCATGTGTTGGGTCATTGAGATAATGATCTTGGTCTTTTTCCCGACAATCTTTGTGCATAAATAACGATTTTGACATGTTTTGGTCAAAATCCACGGGGTCGACAAAAATAGATCCTCCACAGAGTTGTATATGTTGGGCGCAAAGCTCGAAAACGGCCAATGGTCGTTTTTTTTTTGCTCAATCTTAGGATTGGGCTATTTAAAACGACCAAAGTCCGAATTTCCTTCCAATTTCGAGCTTCGGTCGTCTCCAAACAGTCAAACCTAATTGGTTGGCCTTATGCCCCCCTGATAGGCCTGATGCGAAGTGGTTCTGCATCAGTGCCGCCAACCGGCTATATAGGAGGTAGACCTGGGCCGGCGTTTGAGTGCGCGGGGAATGTTCCGCCCCTAGGTAGGCTAATTCGCACTCTCCAAACCAAAGCGTACTGCCCAAGCGGGGCCAGCGAGCAGTACGCTTAAAGAGGGACCGACGTTTCAGCCGCGTCGGTAATGACAGGCGGAAGCTCGGAGGGAGTTGGGGGCATAGCCAGCCCTGGGGGTGCCTCAAAGTCCATGGCGTCCATGGAGGTGGAGGTGGCCATCGAGTAGAGGCCGAAAGACAGCCCGGCTGTTTGGAACTGTGTGCCTTTTACGAGTCTGAGGGCCATCCTATTGTTGGCAGCCAGCTCGTTCCCCACCAAGGCAGGGGCCATAATGGTAGCCATGTCAGCATCATATGTCATTATTGAACACGGCTGGAACGTGGCTAATACCTGGAGGTAGATGGCGCCTGGTAATGGTGTTGGGGCGGCTTGGATGGGAGCAGTACCCCTAGCCCAAGACGGACGGTCTGCGATAGGAGGATGAGTATTAATGCAGGCCTTAGGTATTGTGCTATGACGTTAGCCCCGAACACACCATACTCTGCAAGCATGTAGGGTGCACCAGATGAGGCCCGTGCCGCATAATCGGAGGAACCCAGTACAGACCACCATCCTTGTTGGTTATTTGTTCCGTTGAGCCGGACCTCGTGGCTGAAGTCAGCCTTTGGTGATGGGGCGCATATGTCCCATTCCCGGAGGCGGACAGCCAGGATGTTGTCTATTACCAGTGGATTCCAGGTCACGGGTGTTATATTTTGAGCTAACGCATGTAGCGTGTCAGCGGCATCTGGGTCAGAGCCACGTGGTCCCACCAAGGTCTGTCCGCATGCCATGCGTGTTTCGATGCTCACCCCCATAAACCACACAAAACAAGAGGCTACCGCTCTACGCAGTAGCGGTTCTAGCGTGGTGGTGGGTGGCACATAGTCAAGCAGGTGTAATACATTGGCCATAATTGGGGACATGGCCGCACCACTCATCCAAGCCGCCAAATAGGAGGTCCTCACCTGATAGGGGTACAAAACGGTGGTAGATTTGCTGTGAGATAATTTGATACTTATCTAATTAATAAACGACCAAAGTTTAATAAATTCGGTTCCAGTGTCAGTGTGAGGTAGATATGACATTTTAACCATTGATGGTGACGTAGATAACGTAGACCAAGTTTGAGCAACAACATGAACTCAAGAGGGCAGGTGGATCTTATAGATATGCAAACAGAACCAGCTGTCCAGAGGGAGACTATACATTTATTTTTCAGGACCATCTAACAAAATTATTAATTAATAAGTAAGGTTGCTATTGACAACGTGCGCGAAATCGTCAACAGTGAAAAAAAGTATTTCGCGCACGTGACAAAGTTGAACTTAAACAGCAAATTTAATTAACAATCGGTTCAGTTGTAGAAAAAATATTGTATATAACGCTAGCGCGAAGTTATTTCACGCTTTTGACTGATATTTTGACTCGGCTTCGCCTCGTCAAAATACCTTCAGTCTCAATGCGCGAAATTGAACTTCGCGCTCTTGTTATATAAATAACTATTGTATAATAGGTTCTCCTTACATCCTCCAATGTGACAATGGAACAGAGTTCACCGCAGCGCAGTCATAAATGTACTTGCTGACATGTTCGAAGCTAAAATAAAATTTTTGAATGAAATCAAAATAAAAAATTTTTGTACATAAAAAAGAGGGGTTGATTTTTAAAGTGTTAATGTAGTTTTAGGAGGGAGGTTGGCAAAACTGTTACATAGAGGGACGGGGTGAGGATCAAAATTTCGAAATAAGTGCGTTACGTTATATTTATGGGTTGCCTCTCCAAAGATTTTGAATGTTACTGAATTTCTATTGAGGCACTAAAAATGTGTGTTAGCTGTAGTTATTTCCTAATTACTCAATCTTAGGTTTGGCTGCTTTAGGCCTGAAATTGAATTAGAATTCGAGCTTTGGTTATTTTAAATAGTTCAATCCTAAGTTTGAGCAAAAAAACGACCATTGGCCGTTTTCGGGCTCTGCGCCCAACATATCGTCGGTTTAGGATAAGACTATCCTAAGTCCAGTGTCCTCTATTCTCCAATAAACGGATGTAAAGAATTCGATACTTCGTGAGTTTCACTGTAATCATTGTTCAAACATGAAAATTTAGGATTAGTTTTGCTTTGATTGTTCTAATAATTCTGTAAATTTCTATTTACCCAATTTGTAAAATAAATAAGAAGGTGGACATAAGCTACTATAAAACAAACTCTCTTAGTACTGAAGTATCCTAAGTCGTCTTTAATGGACTTAGGATTATTTACATACTAATTAATAGGGACTTAGGATACCGTTATGGTTAACTAAGAAAGTTATTATGAAAAATCCCGTGTAACCGAATTAGTGGTGCAGCTGAAAGTGTATTCCCTTCCCTAAAAAGTGCCAAAAATTGTGTTTAGCAGGCAACCGATTTGCTTGCAAATCATTAGGGTTCTTCTCAAGAGGTGCCTTCATCAGTATGCAAAATATGGTTTGGATCTGACAATATGGCAAAATCAATACTACACTGAAATGATTTCAACTGCGTAATAATGATCTCATTCATAAACAAAGTTTATTTAAAGAAATATTTGCCCAAGGAGCTTAAGTTATAAAAAAACTGATGCAATTACAAATAAATAAATGCCAAATACAAAATTCCTTATAAGCATTAAAAATCCAAGCTATTCGGCGGTATGTGGTAAATTTCCGAAGAAATCTTGATATTCTTTGGTAATTGTATTTTTCTCACAAAAATACGTAATGCAGTCGTACTTGTATTTACTAATGGGTATTAAATCTTCACGCAATTTCTTCAACTTGAAGTTTGACATGTCTTGTAACTTTTTTCTACATTTATCTTTTATATTAATTAAAAAGTAATCTTCTTGTAGCTTGTAACCTGCTTTTATAATGTTGGGGTTTTCATAGTCTGCATGTACACAACTGATTTCTGGCCATTTCACCACGTTTCCGGAAATATCTCTCTCAATTTTTGTCGTTTGTAAAGTAAGGTCTTTTAAATCAAAATAGTATATTGAAAGACAAGTGTTACAATGCGACCTATTGTAATACGACTATCTTGTGGCACGAGTGGCGACGCGAAGCGTAGCCACGAGTGTCCGCGAGATAGGACTATTACAATCAAGCATTGTAACACGCGTTTTTCATACTATTTTTTCTATTTCGGTGCTTTAATTTAATTAAAAAAATCATTATCAGAAACTATAGGAAACATTAGAACTAACATGTTTTATGTTGGGAACACTTTTTATGCCGTTAAGTTTTAGGTTGGCAGCGTAGTAAGACTGACATTTTGAAGTTCAAACATGGAAGTATTGCTTGTGTTCAGGAGCAGTAATCACGATTGTGCGCTACGACATCTATGATGACCTGCTGCTAGTAATCGCTTGCAATTTCTTGGACGGCATCCACCACCATGCTTATACTTTTGTTTACAAAATTCTAACCTAATAATTATGGATGAATTTGTGTTTAATATGTTGATGGAAAACCCGTTGGAGGAACACATAAAAGCCGTTAGCGTAGTTGCAAAAGTATCAGCGAATATGAATGATGATGTTATTGGTTTAGAAGATACAGTTGCAGAAGAATATGGTGTAAGGTCTGCTTTAAGTTTGCCATCACATAACTTTATTGAAAAAATTGCAGCGTTTAATGACTCTGAATGTTTGGAACATTTTCGAATGAAGGGGACCACTTTGCAGGTGTGTTATGCTTAGCTTTCATTTTAAGTAGGTATGTAAAGCATTATTGACTGTTGCAGGCACTCTATGAATACCTATTTAAAGACAAAGTGCAACTTTGACAGTGCGAAAGTTCCAGGTGATAAGCAGTTATATGTAACATTGTGGACTCTGGCAAATAAAGATTCCTATCGAGAAGTAGGTAAGTACGAACTTTAATTGTTTTTCTTAATTAAGAAGTATGTTGTTGCAGGTAATTTGTTTGGATTGAGTAAGTCCACTGTCAACTTTATTTTTCACAAAGTTTGTAAATTATTAACAGAATGCAGAAATGATTTTATTAAGTGGCCGACAGCTGTGGAACAAACTGATATCAAAAGATACGTCCATAGTGTACATCGTTTTCCAAACACTGTTGGATTTATTGATGGATGTCACATACAAATAAAGGCACCTAGTAATAACCCTACAGACTTTTACAATAGGAAGGACGTTCACAGCATAGTGTTACAAGGCACATGTGATCATACTTTAAAATTTATCGACATATATCTTGGCCAAACAGGTCGTTCACATGATGCACGGGTGTTCAGAGAAAGTCCTTTATCAGATGTTTTAAACCAGGTTGTTCCCTCAAATTGCCATATTTTAGGGGATTCAGCGTACCCTTTACTTACAAGGATGATGACACCGTATCGAGATACAGGCCATCTTACAGCATCACAAAAGAAATATAATACCATTCATGCAAAATCTCGTGCATTCATTGAACGAGCCTTTGGTCGCTTGAAGGGGAAATTTAGACGCCTGAAATATTTGGAAGTTAATGATATAACAGGTGTAACGGATATTGTTTGTGCTGCATGTGTTTTGCATAACTTTATTTTAACATATGAACCAGATAACTTATATAGTCGGCAGCAGCAAGAAGACATAGAAATTGATGAAAATCTCTCGGCAAGTGAAAAGAGGCTGTTAATTACTAATTATATAAGCTGAAATACTTTGTAGTAATTTAAAGTGAATTAGATTGTAAGTGCTGTGCCTAATGCGATTTTGTTTAGTTTGTTATAAATAAAACGATATTGAAATTTTTCTTTTATTACAAGTTAAGTACTCGCAAATGACAGTAAAGAATAATTTAAAAAAAATGATAATTCTGAAGATAATAAAGAACTAACTAATTTATTTTTTTTGTTCAAGATATTGTTTTAGCAAATTATTTCTGGCTTCCTGTATTTCATTGCTTTTCATTAATATCTCATTCATTAGATCTATTTTGGATTCCATCTTTGTTTGGCGTTCCTTTATATCGGCAGCCAATTCACGGTACTTATCAAACTTTCGCTTTCGAATTGTAGGCGCACGAACATTATTCGTTTCTTCACCATCAGGCGTGGAAGTACTCGGTGTTTGGGATCGACTGTTGGGTGGTGTATTTGTTGAATCTTTAGTGGCAGTCAAGGATGACACGTTCAATGACTTATTAGTAATTGATGAGATAGTTGTGTGGACTGAAGGCGTATTGGTTTTGTCTCTACTGGTACAGCTGGGAGGCACACATGACTCGTTAATTATTGGACTTGGTGAAGATATAGTTGTAATAGGTCTTAAATACTTAACAGGGTTAATATTGACATCTTGATTTAAAATATCTTGCATCAGGGAGAAATATGGCCACTTTATGGGTGCTTCACCAGTTTTGCGTTTCTTCCTTACCAATTTAATATATGTACCTTTTAAATTCCGAAATTTACGATCACACAATACGTCTGATTTGCCAATCTTGCACCCTATTTGCTTCCATAAATCTTTCTTTTTAATTTTGGTGTTTCTAAATTTGTCAATGTTTTCGGCATGGCATATAACGTTAAAAGATATTGCGTATCTTCATGGTTCCAATATTCATCGTTTTGGGAGTCCTCGGATACACCTTGCAACTCATTTGTTGTGTCTTCTGTCACGTCTGCTTCAGATGTGTCTTCGTTTTGGATAGACAGTCCTAACATCGATTGATTTTCATCTGTATTTTCTATGTACCCTATTTCATGTGCTGAAAGGAAAATTAAATTAATTTTCACAATTCTCTAAATATTTCCAGTTACTTACTTTGCTTATGTTGTAAAACTATGTTACAACCATTAATTGTAACCTCTCCATTTTCGTTGGTAACTACATTCCAATTATCTAATAATAAATCTAATTCCATGTCTAGCGTGTTAAAAACAAAAGTAAACAATTAACTTAACCTCAAAAATAAATGCAGCAAATTACGAAAGCGCTTTTTAAACCGCTGTCAGAAATTCGACAATCACATCTATCATGATTAGTGCTGCCAATCGTTCAAGAAAAAGGTGATGCCAACGCTGCTATTGCTGACTTGCTCCTGAACACAAGCACTGTATAACGGTAATCAAGCAGCGTGCGCTTGCGCTAGTGCTGAGCTGGCTGTCGCCTCTTCAGTTAATTTTATGTATATCGGATGTAGCAAAACATACAGTACATGGTGGGTAGCAGATATCTGACATAAAATGTACATTTTTTTGGTGACATTATTCATTAAGTATATCATATACTCATATGTATATATTAAATACATAAATTTGTTATGTAATGTTAATATATTTAGTATTTCTGTAATTCATACAACTCTTTTTTGATATATGGGCTACATATAGTTTTTTTATATATAATATACTATATAAAAATTAATGAACTCCTAAATAACATAGTAGTTCTGATATATATGATACATAAAAAACTAAATATATAAGTTTTTATCTTAATCTTACATATTTGTTATGTATGTTTTATATGTCTGTTTATTGGGTAGGGATTTCAATGGTCATTTCTTTATAGTCAATTACTAGCTCCCCTAATTATTTTAGCGCAAAAGTCTAAATAAGTTTTTTTTAGAGAAAAAAATACTGCATCTGTTCATACTTTTAGTTAAGATTTTCCATTTTTCAAAACCGTAGAAATCGACAAAATAAAAAATTACATTTTTATAAATCAGTGATGCTTTGGAATCTTTTAACAAACTACAAGCGCATCGCATCTAAATTATGGTTGTTTGACGTCGAACGATTTTCATATTTAATTCTGTTACAACTATCCGATGCAACCTACATAATCGAAGAAAAAAAAACTGATTTGAAGCAGATTTATTCCTAAACTTATATTATCGGATTTTCCGCTACTGCAGCCAAAACGTTGAATGTATTGTCGTTTTCCTGATGGTTTTGACGGACATTATGAACGTTATTGCACTTCACAGAGTTGTATATAAGTAAATAGAGAGACAGTCTTGTAGCGAAAAATTGACTCCAATACGCCTTATTCGAAAGGTCGGAGCCATCTAACGTTTACTTTAGGAACCATGGGGTATGACCATCAATTTTTGCGGGAAAATAGTTTACGTGTTATCGCAATGAGATGAGATGTTTTGGCAATTTGAAATTATTGACTTTGTATGCCATAAATGCTGTATTGTTTATATGTGGGAGGTTTGTGTGAATTCTACGATTGATTGTATGAATGTTAAACATTCGATTCTTTTTTATAGGATGGGTGTAACGTGTAACAGAAACTAGGTTAGAAACTGATATTTATAAAAATGGCAAGGTAAAGATTGCTAAATGTATAAGGATTACTATATCTGTTGAATGTTTTAGTGTATTAGAGGAACCAAATGCACCATGGACCAAAAATTTGACAAGGCTACATGAAATAAATTTTACTGAAGATGTAATCTTAACTTACAATCAAGATTCAAACTCCAAGAAAAGTGTGAACCTTGGATATAGGATGTTCAAAGCACATAAAACATCAAATGTTTTTATTGCAAATGATGGTAACAAGATATTTGTAAAAGCTAACGTTCAAGCTTCTTTCACGTTAAGCAAAAAATATCTGTGCAAAATACTAATATATGTGCATCTGAAAGTAGAAATTGTCAAAGCGTCATGTGGGTGTCCAGCTGGTCTTAGTGGTGCATGTAAACATATATATACTTTGTTATGGAGCGTTTTTGATATTGCGAAGACACACGCAAGTAACTTAACAGAAGTAGCGTGCACATCATTACCACGGAAGTGGGGTATAGGAGCGAAAAGTAGGACTCCTAGAAGTGCAACCAAATTTGCTGAATTGAATTTTATAAAGCACGATGTGAAAAGAAAGGCAAAGAACACTGAACGTTTGATATTACAGCGGAGAAAAAATTTGGCAGACATTCAACTAACTGTTCGGATTGACAAAAAATATATTGAAATATTAAAAAAAGGACTGGCAGATAATGGCATAGGAGAAATGTTTCAAGATGTTTTGCAGGAAAATCATTTAAAGCAAAATTCCCCTTTACCCTCACTTTTTCCTAAAGAAGCTGAATTATTGCCTAGTGACGATGTTAATCATGAAGCTATACAAGTACCAATATTAGATTTGTGGAAAAATGAAGTAGGTGAAATAATAGGAAGAAATAACTATAACGTGAAGTTGTTAGAATGCTGCCAAATAAACTTAAGTCAAGCCCAGGATCTTTTCAAAAACACAACTACTCAAAGCGTATCAGAAAGGTGGAAAAAAGAACGGAGTAAACGAATTACTGCTTCCAATTTTTATGAAATCATTAGACGGAAAGCAAGTGTTACAAACGCGTTTGTAAATAAAATTTTTAAATGTACAGAAATACGACAAACTGCAGATATGGCACTTGGGTTGGCAAACGAGGAGAGAGCACTAGAGAAATATAAGATATCGAAGAATCTTGTGGGCGAAGAAATTAGTAAAGTGTTTGATGTAGGATTAGTAGTTAATCCTGGGTGCCCATTTTTAGGAGCGACGCCTGACAAATTAGTTCAATTTACATCTGGCAATAATGTCCTTATAGAAATTAAAACTTTAACAAAAGCGATGAAACTTGAACTGTCTGTCTGTAACAGAAAGTATTAAACAAAATTATTGCAACTATCTTTATTTTAACGAAAATAATCACATTGCATTAAAACAGAACAGTAAGCAGCATTTTCAAGTTCAGGGTCAAATGGCTTTAAGTGGTATTTTCGAATGCGATTTAGTGGTTGATAGTGGAAGTAGTTTTTTTATTGAAAGAATCAGTTTTGATCCACATTTATGGAAAACATTAATGTTACCAAGTTTAACGAAATTTTATTTTTTACATTTTGATAAATCTTGTAATTTGTAATGTTCACACCTATTTTTATTATATTACTTATGTGTATTATTTTATTTAATTCTAGTTTGTAATGTTAAAGTATTGTGTAGTATCTATGTCTATATATTAAGCCTAACTGTAGATTACTTATTTCTATTTATGTTGCATACTTTTCTATTAAGTAAAGGTTCATTAATAAAGTTCTGCAAATGGCAACAAATTTTCCAAATTTGGTTTAAACTGCAATGTGCACTATTCGGAAACACAAATTTTAAAATTCTGAAGGTTTTAATTTCGCTTATTACTCTTTCTACATGAATTCGTAACGATGCGATTTCTTTTGTTTTCTCTACATCTGCTGGAGAAAATTGTTTCGAATCTGATGCAAGGAAAGGTGGTATATTTAATGCAACTCCACGTGCCTCCAATTCGTCACGAATGACATACCCTTTGTCGGCCATAACTGAATCGCCAGGTTCTAACAATTGTAAAATGCCACAACTGTTGAATATTTCCTTATCACTACTCCTCCCGGGATACAAATCTGAGATAAAGGATACAAAACCATTAGGGGTAATACCTAACAATCCTTTGGCCGTATTATGAGATTTATATTGTGAATAAGTGTAACTTTGAACAATAAAATCTGAGGGCATTTCTATAAATAATTCGGTACTATCGATCACCACCCTTGTGGTTGGATATTTATTTTTAAATGATATAGGCATATACTTACAAACTAAATCTTTACTTGGCCATATATTAATTTGGTTTAATGTCACACTGCACAAATTTATCCAAAAAATCACAATCTTACTTATTGCACTTTGGCTTATACAAAATCGGTAGGCCAGGTCTTGTTCTAATAAGCCTAACCGTAACCTACAGCAAAATACCAGTGCTTGTTCCTTATATGAGAGCGAAGAGGGTCTGCCTGGAATGTTACGTTTTGCTTTTCTGTATGGCAAATACATGAACTTTAACAAAATTTTAAATCTATTTACACTTTTGAAACCAGTATAAAACTTTAACATTTGTTCATTATTAAGTATGTTTGATAAATTAAAACTTATTGCTTGTCTACAGCTCTTCATTTGATGTTCTAATATTTGCAGTTTTAGCCTTACGTTAATATTCTTTTTTCTTTGCGTCTCTAACTCATTTTGGATATTGCTGAGCTCTCTGTTTCTTTCCATACAGGTGCATTTTGCAAGCTGTTCTTTTAAAAGTAATATTTCTTCATTCATGGTTTTAATTAAAGCAGACACTTCTTCTCCACACATATAAGGAAGGCCATAGTTGTGGTCGTTACTTGCCGTCACACTGTCCGTGATAGATGGTAGCACTAAAAATAAACTTTTTAGTTTTTAGTTATCTATTTGGGTCTTAAAATGAAATAAAAGCCACAATGATTATTAATTTCTACAGTAAATAAATAAATGAATGCTACTAACTTGTTTTAAAAGGCATTTGTTTGTAAGTGTATCGTGGTGTTTGTTGAATTTGCAAAGTGGGCCCATGCGGCGACGCTTGTTGAATAGGCAACGTGGGTTCCTGCTGCATATTACCTTCAAATTCGCAGTGTGGAACAATCTCTTCATATTGTACATTTTGGATCGCTTCATATGCTACAACATACTTAAGTTAACCTTTAGCATTTCATAGGTTATTTCACCTACATGATGGTACTAATTGTAATCGTTCATATGTCTTGTGTTTAAAATAAATAGGATATTTGTCCTCATATCTCCTTTTTCCAGATTTATTAAAATGTAAACCGCAGATGCGATGGTATTGTGTGGGTTGCCACAAAGAATATTTACCACGATTTCCAACTCTATTAATTCGATTAATCCAAATCTGTTTTTCACTAGAGTCTTTTGGAAATGTATGGAATGATACATTCCGGTTTGCGATTGTATCAGATTGACAACCTGGTACACAACCCCGTTGGCCCTTTTTTTTCACTTTCGACATTATATCAACTAAAGCACATGAAATATTTATTGCAAAGGGTATTATTTCTACGTAAACACAAAATAGAGGTTACGTTATTATGTTTACGTACAACATCGTGAAGTTAGTTAATTGCAAATGCATATAATTCATGGGAGTCGCTAAAACAGGAATCATAGAACTGGGGTCAGATTTCCCATAATGCATTTCTTC